AGACCACTCGTATGCGGAAGTTTGCAACGGTCAGTATGGCCGCTTTGTAGGTTAAGGCAAGTCAGTTTAGGACCGACACAGCCAATAACAGAAGCAGAAGTAATACATCTGAATCAGAAAATAATTTAACACAGTCAGAAAATAATTCTCAAGCATCAGAAAATAATTCTCAAGCATCAGAGAATAACTCTCAAGATTCAGAAAATAATTCTCAAGAATCAGATAATAATAATCATGAGTTTGTCTTGCTCAGCCCCCATGACTCCAATCAGTCTGATAATTCTGATTCTGAATCATCCAGATCAAGAGTCTCAAGTGCAAATGAGTTTGACCCAAATGAAAACAATGATTATGTAATGTTCGAAAATGAAGCAGACAAAGAACGCTATTTAGTATTTGCTGTACGCCAATGGGCTTTAGAAGGTGGCGTTTTGTCCATGAGCAAATTGGATAGTCTTTTGGCCATTTTAAATTTAATTTTCCCCAATGTACCTAAGAGTTACAAAACATTATTGCAAACACCTTTAAATACTGAAATTGTCAGGGAAGATAATGGTGGACTAATGTGGTACAAGGGAATAAAGTGTAATTTAGAAAACATGCAACTCGATGAATATTTATTGAAGTATGGGCAAATTCAAATTGACATAAATATGGATGGACTCCCATTACATAACTATAGTTGTAAGAAATTTTGGCCAATTTTAGGAAAGCTTGTGAACACTTTTAATCAACCATTTACTATTGCCATTTATCAGGGTACTGAAGATCCAGAGAATGTTTATTCCTATCTGAATGAGCTGGTTACAGAGCTCCAAGATTTGTTTCACAATGGATTCAATTATAAAGGCACAAACTATCCTGTTGTTGTTCGTAACTTTATACTGGACCGACCAGCAAGAGCACTTGTGAAATGTTGTGTAGCTCACGGTGCTTATGGTGCATGTGAGAAGTGTGAGGTTTTTGGAGAGCATCTTGATGATCGTGTAGTATACCTCAATCTAAATGCTCCCCTCAGAACAGACCAGGCCTATTTAAACCAAACGGATCCTGTGCATCATGTTGGTCGTTCTCCTTTAGAGGCTGCTGGTATTAATATGGTATCGCAATTTAGATTAGACAGTTTCCATCTAGTTTATCATGGAGTATTCAGAAGGCTCCTGGAAGTATTTAATAGATGGCCTGGTCCATGGAAATTCACAATTGAAACTAGAAACCAAATTTCTGCAAAATTGACATCTCTCATACCAACATGTCCTCAGGATTTCAATAGGAAGCCAAGACCCATGAAGTTCTGGAAACATTACCATGGTACTGAAGAGCGTCGATTATGTATCTATGATGGGATGTTAGTGTTTAAAGATAAGCTGCCAGATGAGGTGTACAAGAACTTTTTGCTACTACAGTCTGCAGTATACATTTTGGCCAGTCCTGTTTTGGTGCAAACTATGGTGCAAACTATGGTGCAAAATGCTAAAGTGTTGCTGCGTACTTTCATTGAGCACTCAGCTGCTCTTTACGGGCGAAAATTTGTTGTTCTGAACGTTCATTCCCTGGTTCACTTGGGTGAAGAGTGTGAAGAGCACGGTCCTCTAGAAAATTTCAGTGCTTTTCCCTTTGAAAATAAACTGAAGTCTATAAAAGAGATGCTTCAGACAGGGTCAAGGGAAATACAACAGGCAGCTCGTCGGGATCAGGAAAGGACAAAAGATGTGCCTATTCTTCTGAACACTGAGCCAGAAATAAGGCTAAGTAATGAACATATAGATCCCATTGAAACTTTCCCTGGCTTGCAATACAAGAAGGTATCAATTGATAGGGAGGTGGTGCTCGCTGTTGGAGATGGGGAAAGGGATTCTTGCTTCCAAACAAAAGACGGTGATGTTTATGTACTGCAAAATATTGTAAGAAATGAAGAAGACATATTGTTAATAGGAAGAAAATTTCAGAGGTCTGGAAATTTTTATGAATATCCACTGCCCTCCTCAGACCTAGGGATTCTGAGTGTGTCAAATTTGGGCCAGGAAAGAACTGCTATTAATCTTGCAGATGTTAATTCTAAATGTTGGCTAATGCCCGATGAAAACAATTTCCTTAGCGTTCCTTTACTGCACACTCTTGCAGTTTTTGAAAGACTCTGATTTTAATGTCCTATCACTATAATTTATTAAAAATTCTCCCTGTTTGTTCCAGTTTGTAGTGGTGCAAATTCAAGAAAATCAAGTGTTTCACATTGCTTTATCGAAATGGATTGTCTCCATGGACCATGACAGTAAAATAGCATGCATATCTTGGCCAGATGAATCACCAGATTTTTTTGTGAAGGAAAATCTAGATGCTGCTGACGATTGGAACGAAAAGCTTGCAGAAGTCAAGCGGTTCTATAGTAAGTCTGGAGATATGCCCATTATTTAAAATCCATTCAATTGAAGTTTGATTTTAAATTTCCTTTCTGTTATTTGTATAGGTCAGTATAATGACGCAAAGGAAACACTGAAAAACTTTCAGAGATTTACTGACTATGACACTGGCAGTGATAAACCATTAGGAAGAGGACATAGATTCAGGCGCGGCAAACGAATGACTGATAGTGACACGGAAACGCCACACCCAATGAAACAATCCAAGCTTGCTGCACCCCCTCCTGTGTTGTTACAAAAAGTTTCGGCAAAGGCATCAACCTCCAGTGCTTCCAGACCTGTTGTGGTTCAGAAAAGAGGTATGGTTTCTCAGACCAAAGTAAAAAAGTTGCTATCTGAATCAAAAGGTAAAGGGAAACCTGAAGCACCTGAAAAAGCAAGGCTTGAAAGACTGGAGCAAAAAAAGCAAAGAATTTTGTCAGACAGGGAGCAAAAGAGAAACAAAAATGAAGAGAAAAGGAAACAAGCCCTAAATGCTCTGACAACTAGAGGAAATTCAGCTCACCACCCAATTGTAAAATCTACATCAAAAATGGAATCAAAGAAACCTTCAGAAAAGGGTATGTGTTTCAAACTACTTCTCAATTATGATCTAATTGTTTTCTTGTTGTACCTAACTGAATTAAATTTTTACAGCTCCTGAAAGAAATGTGTCAATATGTTTGGCTGACAAGGATAAAGCAAGTAAAGCAAATTCAGTCAAGAGTCAGTCTATGCAAAATCTGTCCGAACCAAAGACAACTGAGCAGTCTCCCATAAAATATGAATCTTCTACTTCAAATAATGAGACAACAGTACCGGTTAAAAGAGGTTTGTCCATATTGGCAGCTTTATAGTGCTATTTGCAATAAGAACAAGTGTTATATTCTAATGTTGTTTCTTTTGTACAGTTCCACTAAACAATTCGACAGCCTCAAAGCAGAAGGATAATGGCTTAAGTATAACTCAAGAAAAAACTTCTGAAGAAAGAGGTATACATTTTGAGTTGCTCTGTTATAAGACAGAATGAAGGTCCTGAATAAAACTATACTTTTATTTTGCAGTACCCGACTCAGAAGTCCAGAATCCAGGGGATCCAGTATTTGAACGATTGAGGCGTTTGGTTGGTTAGTTCTTACAAGAATAGGAATAAGAATAAGACTTTGCCCTCTCAGAAAAAGAAAACTCCAGAGGCTGCTGAGGGAAGAGGTAGGGATTTTCAGCTGTTCCTTTATTATGAAGAATTAAGAGCTGTTGTATTAAGACTGATCTTTTTTTGTGCAGCACCCTCTTCTTGTTCTGGTTCAGAACTCTGTCCTGGTTCGGTAGATGTTGGCAATGATTCAGCCATAGCAGAGGAAGGAAATGATCATCAGGAATCCACTGAAAATGGTGGGATATTTCTTTCTGTCTTCTTTAATAAAAAATCCACATCTTTTGAAATGCACTTACTAACTTTTCTAATGTGTCAGTATTATACGTAGCTTACTAATACATTGTTTTAGTTGGTTTATCAGATTTACTAGATGATGAAGATTCTGCACCAGAATCGGATATTTTTGCTGATATGGAAACTGTGAATGACAATATCTCTGGCAAAACACACCCTGAACCGGGACTGGTTATGTCAGGCAGTGACCAGGAGGGCTCCGACACTGTAGACTCTCCTGACTCTCCTGATTCTAATCGTAAGTCTTGTGTTTGCACTGTGTGGTGCAGTAATTAATACCCATTGTGCCTTTATCATCGTTCTCATGTTTTTCCACTTTATTTCACCAAATTCAGATGACTCAGACTCAAAAAATTCTGAATCTCCCAGTCCCATGTCAGAGAGACCAAGTGCTGGTAAGACTTCTCCACATCTGTGAGAATTCGTAAACAATGCTGAAAATTATTTACATTAGTTCCCTCTCCTTTTTGATCAGATTCGCGACATCTGTGCCACATAGAAACCTTATTGGAGCATATGAACTCTAAACTAGATATAGTGCTATCCAATCAAGGGAGAGTAAATAGGGCATTGGCACCCACGAGCAAGCGACTTCAAAAACCTCATTGGATCTCACTGCCCGTTCTAAGGCCAGAAGCATTTAAAGAATTTGAAAAAAATCTTGAAGATGATGATAAATTTGATGCATTTGTAAGTCCCGCCTCATTATACATATTATTTATTGTTAAGTTTTATAATTATTATCTGCTAATTGTAGATTAACTCTTTCAGACTCACTACATTGAGGCTCTTGGAATCCCAGATGATGAGAGTAAGGCTACCAAGAAACTCATGCCTGAATTTTTTTCAGACTGGATGGCAGACAAATTTTCATTTCATGGGCAGGGGTCAAAGTTAGCTTTCAAGGATACCAAAATGTGGGAGGCTTTAGAAGGTACAAAAAGTAAATGTTGTGTGTACATTATTGTCTGATGGTTGTAGTATCTCCTAACTCTTCTACAAATTATTTTACAGCCGTATTGTACATCAAGTATGGTACCGACCTTTCTCAGTTCATCAAAGATATGCGGTCGTGGTTCCGCAATGCAAAGGGCAGGAAAAGGGGGAAGATCCCTCCTCCACCCCTCCCCAAGCCTCGCCATAAGTGACAATTAGTCTATGTCTATGTTTTTGTTCCCCCATGGTAATTATTTCATTGTATGAGAGCAATAGACTTTATTATTTAATATTCTCCATGTTGTTCTGAGAGATATAGTGTTTATACTTTATTATTTAAATACTCTCCATGTACTGAGAGAAATAGACTAATTATTTTGATGATAAATATATTTTTTGTTATTTTCTATGTCAGAAAACTTTGCTCACAATAAACTTTATTTTTCCAATCTTGAGATTTATTGTGCAACCTTGTCTAGTCTCCATAATTGAGCTCAACATTCACCAGTTTATTGTAGAGCTGCTTTAGACCTTTTCTAGAGGTCTAGGCGACGTCTGATCGACGACTAGCATGCCGCGGGTACAAATAAATCGTCACATCTAGTAGATGTCTTGTAGACATCTTGCCGATGGTTTATATCATGTCTAGATTCTGACCAAATAGACGTCTACCTAGACATCAAAGTAGATCTAATCTAGATTAGACATCTAGACATCTGTTAGACGTCTAAAAGATCGGGGTCTTCTGGCTGGGTTAAGAGGTGCAGGTACTGTGCCCATTGTATGGGCCGCTCTGCATCTCTTCCTATCACCTTTGCCTTGCTCAAACTGTCTACCTTGCCCACCTCCCAGCATTTCCTGCGCCTTTGGTCGCCTCTCTGAGACACAACACCATCCTCCGGGAAACAACTATACACTGCGCGATTAAATAGACCCTAGTCCAAGTGCTTAACTGCACGAGGAAGTAGACTTGATGGGTAAGAGGTTTTCCTCGACTCAGTTGCGAAAGCACAGGGATGCTGGTCATTGCTCAACACTTCCTTTCTAGGTTGACCTGGGGAGGCCTGAGTCGGCAGGATTAACACTCGACATCGGCATTCCCCGGTGGAACGCGAGCGCCTTTAGAGCGCGGTGAATGCGCTAATGCACCTGCTTGGAAAAAGCGCCCTTATTGCGCGAAAAAACTTCGCATTGAAAGCGCATTTCGTGGCGCTAACGTCGAGCGCATTTAAAGCAGTGTAAAAGCACCTTCATTGCGCTTGGTAATGCGCTTATTGAGCGCTGTCAGGGCGGTGCCCCTGACCCGTAGATGAAGGCGGGATGTTTGAATAAAATATTTTGAATTTTCATTTAAGCTCATAGGTATGGGTATGTAGAGCGATGCCTCCTAACGACAAAGTCCGATGTATTGCGCTCCCGTTACACAAAGTTCGATCCGTTTCACTCCCGTTACACAAAGTCCGATGTGTTGCGCTCCCGTTACACAAAGTTCGATCTGTTCCGCTCCCGTTACACAAAGTTCGATCTGCTTTCCGTCGCGCTCTGCATCGCGGTCTTATTATGTTTATATTTTCGCTAACATTGCCGGTAGAAAAAAAGTAAAAGCTGCTGTCTGTTGCTAAAAGATTGAAGAACAACATACTCTAAAGAAAAAATTGAATGCCTCAACAACAAAACTGCGGTAGCGCTCTAAACTTGGGTCTCCCGAGAGCGGCCAAAAGCAGATCGAACTTTGTGTAACGGGAGCGGAACAGATCGAACTTTGTGTAACGGGAGCGGAACAGATCGGACTTTGTGTAACGGGAGCGAAACAGATCGAACTCTGTGCAACGGGAGCGCAACACATCGGACTTTGTCGTTAGAAGGCATCGAGAGGGTATCAGGAAGAAAGTGTCACTAAATAAAACCGAACATGTGTATAAGAAATGCCATCAGTTTATTTATTGAAAGCAATCCTCTGTAGGGAGAAAGCTGATTATCCTGAAATGATAAAAACGTAATTAGTGACATTTAGAACACTTTTTATATCACACAATTTCAAGAGGCCAAAAGCCATGCAAAGCAGAGCTGTGAATGCAATACCCAAACAAAAGCACAAGCAAAAGCCATATCAAATACAACTAAACAAGATTCTAGGCATTTTATTTTATGCAATCAATTGCAAAGCAGTCAATTGGAAAAAACAAAGATTAACAATTTCTTTGTTAACTTTAAACAAAAAAACAAAACAAAAAAACAAGCAGAATGCAATGCAATGCACAAGCAAACAACAAAACTTATCAAAACAGTTCAGAGCAGTACAGAAACCACGGGCCTTAAGTCTATGACCTTTTCTTGCTGGACTCGCTCCTCAGCCACATTCTGATTGCCCTGGTTACAGCAGAAAAGTTTTGTCGCAGATATGTCAAAATATAGTCACAATTTCTTTGTTAACTTTTTAACAAGAACCAAAACAATAATACAGAAATAAAACAAACAATAAGCGGAATGCAATGGAATTCCCCAGGAAACAAACAACAAAACTAAACAAAAAATTCAGAGCAGTAGAGAAACCACTCTATGACTTCTTATTCTTGCCCTCCTGGCCCTTGCCCTCCTGGCCCTTGCCCGCCTTGCTCCTCAGCCACACACTGATTGCATGGGTTACTGCATGCCTTGAGAAGTTGCCCTCATACTGTCGTGCACAAGCATCTGTAATAACAGAATAATTCAGGTCACCTAATCATGAGGAATAAATGGTCTAAGGCTGATGGGAAATATACATACCAATTATACATTTTCCTGTTTTTAACGATTTAATTCCCCTTTTCTGCTCAGTCCCTTGCCAATTCAACCTTGAAGCAGCTTCCTCTGTGAAAAGAAGTTTGCACACATTCGTGGCCATTTCACCTTCATTCTGCCCCTTTCCAGCATGCACACTGAAGTGACCAACCTGAACAAAATATTTAAAAACTCAATAATAATAATAATAAAAGTACACTGTTATTCAAGGAATGTGACGTCACATTCGTTTCAATGTGAAACGTGTCACATTCGTTTGAATATTGTGTCACATTCATTTGAACGTGACTTCCCGTGAATTGATGCTCAAATGGGATGGGGGCAGGCATTGGCCGATTCACGTTTAAGCGAATGTGACACAACATTTAAACGAATGTGACACGATTCACATTGAAACGAACGTGACGTCACATTCGTTGAATAACAGTGTAACTAAAATACAATAGAGATTTCACTTACAGCGTATTCAAAATGGCTGTCCTGTGAATCAAGGAAAACCTCCCACTCATAAAATGAGGCAAGATCTTTGAGAGGCACCAGGTTATCAGACCACCCATTTGGCTTCTTGGCACAGTGACTTCCTGAGTGGTTCAGGATATCTTCAATACGCTGCATCCTATTCTTTAAATTTTTTAAATAATCCAGTTGCTTGTGCTGATCTTGCCGAATAAGGCAAAGAACAGCTTTTACATCTGCAAAACAAGTTCATGATGAATGTACATTTATTATGGGGCAAGTTTGAAACAGAAATGGAAGTAAATCTTTACCTGAGGTTGCACCGATGACAGGCACACCAGCTTCAACACGACTATGATCGTAATCTAAAAATGAAAATAAAAATAAGAGGGAAAGGATTAATATCTGGTTGCAGAAGACATGCTGAATCAATCAAAATGTACCCACCATTATCAGCTGAGGCAACATCTTGGTTTTGCAGTAGTGCTTCCCTAGCAGCAATGCGCTCCTTAGCTTGTCTCATTTCTTCTTCCAAGCTTGCTAAAATTTATGGATAGACAACAACAATGATTACAAAATTGGAATGAGAGCAGGTAAATAAAGCCAGCTAAAATAGCAAACAATTTAAATAAAAATAATCTTACAATTAGGACTGCTAGGACTATCAAGATTATCTGTAAAAGAACAGGGAATAAGAGCTTAGAGTAAAATTTCATTTAATTTTCTGGAACAATAATAACAAAGAGAGAAACTAACGTACCACCATCATCATTCAGTGTGTCACTACCAAGTTGGTCAGTAACTTGTTCTTCAGAACTGAATATAGAGGGAAAAAATGACATGCCTGTTTACTTAAGCACCTTGATAGTAAAGTAGTTCAGTTAACAAGAACATAAATACATATGCTTCTTACTTAATATTTGCTGGCTTCACAGGATTGTTTTGTTGAGGTTCCTTTTGGACATGCAATCTAAAAAAAAACATAGCATCAGTACAATGGTAAAACATTTGTCAGTGTGTTACAGCCTTGTGGGCAGAAGTCGGAATCTTATACATTAACTTTGAACTTTTAAACGTAGACACAATAGTGTACTGGACCACAAAATCAAAGCGAAATGAGTTTGTTTTGACCCACAACATAATTGCAGAAATACACAAAGAATACCATGAACAATTACAATAAGATTCATACCCTGGAAATATGGTGCCAGGGGGAAGGCGTATGATCTGCATTTTTTGGGGCAGGCCGCTCAGTGTAACTCTGGAAACACAATGATGTGCTGTTAGTGGAAGAATTTAAAATTAACAACATAGCAATGGATGTGGTCATACATTGGGGCTGATGATTTTGATGCTGATGCTGTTTGCTTGTAATGTCGGCTTGACAGCTGTCTTCACACCACTACTGTAAAAAGAAAAACATAGAATTGAAATACATAGTTAACTTGCAAATGGTTGTGACAATAAGCTAGGGGGCTCACCTTGATGGGGCTGCTGACATACTCATTACATTATTTCCAATCCTGAAATAAGAAATAAGTTTATTAGTGCAGGCACTACAAACAGAGATAGAAGTATTCTGTCAAAAATTCTCACCTTGTGCCAGCTGAACTCTGTTGGAGAACTTGAAAGATTGTTCTGAAAAATATCTTATGTTAGTGACAAAGAGAACAACAGCACAATCTTTTAAAATTTTACCCTCAAGAAAAAGGACATATTTGATATTTTATAGGCAGCCCTGACTGTTAATTTCAGTTAAATGCAGTTTCAAGAAGATTCAATGACTAATTTAGCTCAGTTCTGATGACTCAACAGAAATTAACATTAGTGTATAAAATCTATAATACTTTGATAATCGATTTGACAGGGGTAATTTACTGCAAATATATGAATGGTTCACATACAGTTGCCAAGGGGTAATTGTAGATCAATAGAACACTTACTGTGGAGCTGAGACGTTGGGCTGTACCTCTGGTACAGGTGCGAGAGGAGTATTCCGGTTAAGGAAAGGTTTGAACCTTTTATTGGGCTGGGTGTTGAACTGCCCATCGTTGTCCAGAGTGTGCAACAGCCCAATCTTCTGATTTTTCTGTGGGATAGAATAAAATTAGTCCTAGTTCATTTTACACTTGAACTAAACAACAGTAGTAACATGATGGACTTACTGTATTAACTACAAATTCCCAATGTACTGCAAGGAGTGTTTACATTTGTTATTCTAGCTACTCACCAACGAAAACTACACCATATGGACAAGGGGAACAGCTGCATATGTATCCCCATCCATTGGAAGCATGAAGCATTTGAAGACAAGATCAGAAATATTGTATGTTTGCAAATGGTCATCAAGGTCTCCTACCACACAGCTTCCTAAGGTGGTGGATGGCATGGGAAAGTCATAGATGTCAGCTGTTCTCCTGAACACTTTAACTACCAGGAGTATATCATCCAATGAAGATAAAATATTCACCACTAGCCCATACTTCCCATCTGCAAGACCTACACAATTATTAGGTATGGATATCTTTAAAGTATACAGATCATGGTTATACTGTGAAAACTGGGCATTAAAGTCAACGTTCATGGGTACAGGTCCATTTCTGTGCTCTCTGAGCAAACTAATTCTTCTTCTCTCCTGTCGCTCTGCTGTCTTCTCCTTCTCAGCTAACCTGCGAAACACTTGCTCAAGGGGCCTATTGGGTGACCTCACAACTCTCTTAAGCTGGCCAAGCATGTCTTCAAAAGGGTACCCTGAAAAAGAGGATAACTTCCCATGTCTTTCCACATCTTCATGTAGATGCAAAGCCGAATGCACATTGTAAACTACAAATCCAGGTCCTAGAAGCTGTGCACTATACTGTACAAATAGTTGCAAATTTTCTTTGGCAGCTTGAAGATGGGATCTGATTAAATTGTCACTGTGCATGATGAAAACAGAAGTGTGCAGCAGCATGAATAGTTTAAAAATTTCATCTTTCTCCACAAAACAAAGTAAAACAGGGGCCAAATACAACATGAACATTTTTAGTTCAGAAGCTCTCCAGCTCTTCAGTCTTTTCAAAGATGGTTTTCGAGTGAATTCGACAGGGATAAAATTTGAGCAGGTGTTCAGAAGGTCACTCAAGAGATTCATTTGTGCTGCTGTCATCCGCGCATTCAGGGGACCCTGGCCCGTTTCTACGATAAAAGATAAATACCTGCGACAAATGCCTAAATCTAAGAGGTGCATTGCACAGAAAGGAAATTGTGATATGAACCCAGTAGGAAGCTGAGTAAGAGGACTGACATAATTGTGGTGTTGTTGATCTCGTAGATCACGGAAGGACACATCAGTTCTAGGAGGTTCAGAGACTTCTGTAGAGTAACACTGGTGGCCATGATGTGGACCCACTTGAGTGCAACGTTCACAACCATCACGAGAAGAGTGGCTAGCTGTGCCCTTTAAGTAGGCTCGCCCCAGAGCATCAGCTTCATAGAGTCTTACACGCACAGGAAAGTTCTGATTTAGTACTGAAATCCCATCAGCTAGTAAAACATGCATTTCAGTAATGTAATCAGATAGAAAGTCTTCAATTGGATTTGGATCGCCTGCACCATAAAACAATCCAACAACAAATGGTCTCTTGTCAATAAGATCTAGGCTGCGGCCCAGGATAGCAGTGCACTTGTTACTTCCTGTATCATATATCTTGAAAGCATCAACAAAGATGTCTAGAGAAATGGACTCTGTATTAGGTTTGATGCCTTTAGAAGTTCTAGACAAGAGACCTTTTTTTAACCCAATGTGGCAATACTTTCCATTCAGCAGCTGCTTGAACAGGGGCCTTTCTCTTGGTGTTTTCAAAAGTGTCTTGGCAGACTTTGGAAGTGTTGGATGATGAGGCTGAAGAAGTGTTAAAAGTGAATCTACAGCAACAAGGGGCACCTTGAACTGCACAGCCCACTGACGGAGAGACACTGTAAGTGGGTCTTCAGCCTCATCAGCTTCTTCATCACTAGCACTCTGTCCATCTTCTCCACTGGATTCGCCACCACTACCGCTGCTACTGCCACTGCCACTCTGTCCATCATCCTCATCACCATAGGCAGCATTATACCCAAAAGCCTCATCAGGTTGTTCTGGCTGGTTTTGTTCAGGCTGGGGTGGTTCAGGCTGGGGTTTGGGTGGTTCAGGCTGGGGTACTGCAGGCTGATCCTCAACCCCTGCAAAAATATCCTCAAATTCTGCCTCCACAGCTCTCCTAGCACGCTCTCTGATGTAACCATCACCAAGGATCTCTTTCCTTCTGTTGTGCATTATTCTGTTTCCTATTCCAAAAACAGTAAAAAAGAGAAATCATGAAATGCACTGTGCAAAATTCTGTAATGGCATGACAAATCAAATTCCCGGTTGTATCCTTGTATACATATTAAAGTGGAAAAGGAAAATAATAATTTTCAAAAATAATCTGCAATGTCCACCAAAATACTGTTGATATCAATAAAGATTTTCAAGTACTGTGACATTACGTTAGCTGGTCTTAATGTCAGCACCAAAAATCATATGACGCACGTTAGTCCCAGTCTCCTGAAGTTCCATGCAAGCTAGTGAGATCACCTTCAACTATAAATGGAAAACAGTGCACAATGTTTTAGACCAGGATTATTAGAAGTTGCAAATTGGTGTAACATTTACAAGAAGATGTCGCAGGGAAGTTGTCTTCTTTATCATCATACACCATCGAGGACATGCTTGGCCAGTTTAGTATTGTTTCAAGAGAGTAAACGACAACAAACAACAATGAAAGGAAACTACAGACAAATGCTTAGTTAGTTTCTGAATGAAATGTTACTATGATGCCCCTTGACTTGAATGAATAGTAGGTGTCTCAGATAACTAACACATGCAAGGTGAGTCCAACAAGTATTCATGAAATCACAAAACATACACTTGCCTTGCTCATAATTGTTCAATTAATTGGCTCAGCCTCCGATATAGTTTTTTAAATTGTTGTTGTAGTAGAATCCGGCACACACAGCACATGCACACGGCTAAGTCAGCTGTTCAACGTTCAACCCAGCCTTGCGGTTCGCATTCATATCTTCTTTCGTAGCGGGTGCAACAAAAGTGCCAACCTAAAGCGCAAAACCTTGGCGCCTCTGAAAAAGCGCTTTTATCGCGCTCCAAAGGCGCTCGCGTTCCACCGGGGTTATTGTCCGCACTCCCCTCTGGTCGCAATCAATCAATCAATCAATCAATGT